GACTCGAGGATGCTACGGATATCATCAACCGAGCGTCTGAGCAAGTATGAGGTCTTAGAGAGGTTGCAAACAAGGAGAAGGCTTATACTTGACATCCGAAAGAGGCAGCTGAAGTTCCTGTAGCACATAATGAGGAAGGAGGGCCGGGAGAATCTGATACTCACGGGTCGAATAGAGAAAAAGAGAGACAAGAGAAAACAACGCATTACATATCTAGCAGCCTTAAGCAAGTGTGGTTGACGGAACGTGATCTGCGGGAGATAGCAGAGGGAAGGAACTTGTTGAGAGCTGCAAGGTATACAGAGAGGTTGACAGGCGTGATCGCCTACGCCCTGAAAGGACACAGCAATTTAAAAGAAAAAAAATGCTTATTCCGGTAAGAGATCCCTTTTATGCGCGTCCATTGTCAAATATTTTACGACTAAATTCATAGAAAATTAAAGAAGATATGGGCTGTCAGTTGTCAGACAATAATGGCAGTTTTACTAACAAAACATGTATATCAACATTAGGAGGAGCACTAGGTAAAGAGCAATATTTTCACTTTTGATTTCCCTATTATAGGCGATATTAGATCCGCTTTATAATAATACAAACAAAACAGAAAGAAAAAAAAAGAAAAGAAAGAAAAAAAAGAAAGAAAAAAAAGAAAAGAAAGAAAAACTGAAAGAAAAAAAGAAGCCAAACACATATTGTTCTCAATAGATTTTAATGAGAAGCGTGGAGTCACCTCTTAATTGCTGGTGTTCCCAGGTCCACTCTAACCCGGGGTGGGTGCACCTGTTAATGTTCCAGCCATGCTCAAATAGTTAACCACAAAACAGAGGTAAAAAGCATTATAAAAGTGTAAAAATAGATTTTAATACCAGAAATACTTTGTAAGAAATTATGACCAGAAATAAATTTTTGAAGACAAAAATGGTTACACCCGCATTGAGTTCGCATTAAAATTTTCCAAAATACTTACATTTATGTGTAATTGTACATGCTCCATTCGAATCTGATTTGATAAATTTGATAAAATCTACCGTTTTGGAGTTATCGACAGTGAAATTTGGGATTCAATCGCGTTGTTGGCGGCAGCCATTACTATCGTTGTTTGCATACTTTCGCTGCGGAAAGCTTAACGCGGAAGACTACAGAAAGCTAAGCTCGGAACTGATCTTTCATGTCTAAATTTGTCGCAATTACTGCGCACGAGAACTATTTACGGAGACACGCTCAGTTTGCGCAATGATACCTATACTGATAGCTATGTATACAAACCCGTAATGGCTGCCCGCGACGCGAATTAAACTAAACTTTTACTGTCGATAACTCGAAAACGGTAGATTTTATCAAATTTATCAAGGCAAATTCGAATGAAGCATGTACAATTGCACATAAATTTAAGAATTCTGGAAATTTTTAATAAGAACTGAGCGCGGGTGTTACACTGCAAATTAACCAAAATAACCATTACCAGCAATATATTTTTGAATAAAAATATTACCAGCAATAGGTTTTTGAAAAGAAATATTACCAGCTATACATTTTTTCAAATAATATTACCAGCAATACATTTTTTCAAATAATATTACCAGCTATACATTTTTGAGGAAAAAATATTACCAGAAATAGATTTTTGACAAAACAAAATATTACCAAGAAAAAAAAATTGCCGGCATTAAATAACCCATTGAGGTGTTTATATGCTGTAAAACACAAGAAATCAAACCAAACCAATCCCATTATATATTATTTTTCGTTTGATGCGGAGTTTCATCTAGCCACCTACCAATCTATGGTCCGTTCCACATTCAGCACCCCGCATGACTAGGACAACGCGTAGATCCTGAAGATTTTATTTTTCGCCAAATGTCGTATACAAGAATACAGACATGATTTGATCTTAGATGAATCTAAGTAAACTTATATTTCAAATGACTCGTTTGAATTTAGTGCAAAGTAGAAGAAAGTGAAGTCAACTGCTGTTGATTTTTCCATGGCTATGGTTTCTCAAAAATTCTCGGGATCCTTGGCGAAATCACCAAGGAAGAGACTTATATATATATATATATATATATATATATATATATATATATATACACTAGTCATACATAGAAAAAAAATTCCACCACAGTTTTGATTTTAAAAATGCTACACTTATAAAAAAGGAAAATAACTCGAGAATGCCGCCATTGAATATTATCCAAATATTGATCTACGCCCAGGCTTTTTCCCTATTTCACCTTTCTTATCAGAATTACTACTCTCCCAAGCAAACGTACACAAAAGTATCAAGAAATCAAAAGAAAATGGTTGAAACCGTCAACATAGCAATAATAACAATATCTCCACACGTGACAGTAACTGACGTAATTTTCAGTTAACAGTATGAAAATAGCGTTCTCTAAATTCTTCCCGTTGCTAAGGACATTTTGTTTTTTGTTATTATTAGTTACTTTGTTTAGTAAAGTCATTTTTTTTTTTTTTTGCCGTAAAAACGTTCACATTGAACGAAACGCGTCGGCTACTATTACTGTTTTTCCTATTGTCTTTTACATTTACAACACCCTGCGTATATATATATATATATATATATATATATATATATATATATATATATATATATAATTATGTATATATATATATATATATATATATATACATAATTATATGAGTTATCAAACTGTCGGGTATTTTCATATAAAACCTTTTGTTTTTATTGCCTATTTCGTTTTCTTTTTGTCAAGTGTCACATTACGCTGCAACATCCTGTATATATATATATATATATATATATGTGTGTGTGTATGTGTGTGTGTGTGTTTCTTTTCATTCATAAAAACAATATGTTTGTTTACATTAGTAAAGGCAATACACTAGAATTCATCTTTCTCTCACTCGAAGAGCCGATGACTTTAGGGTTTAAACTCCGAGTGATACTAAATCGGTCGGGTTTCGATTCTGGCTTGAAGCATTCGGTTGTCTAGTCGCACTGATGAGCTGTGATACACCCCGGCACTGGGTGGTAGCACCTGTTAGGGTTTCAGCGATGGGCAAATAATTAACTCTCCAATGGAGGTCAAATCACTGTGAACTGATAAAACTAGGTTTTAACACCAGCAATACATTTTTGAAAAAACATTACCAACAATACGTTTTTGGAAAAAAATTATTACCCGCAATAAAAATGTTGTCGGCATTAAACAACCCATTGAGGTTGATATGCCGTAGAACAAACCAGACCAAACCAATAGATAGATAGATAGATAGATAGATAGATAAAAAAAATATTACCAGCAATAAAAATTTTGACGGCATTAAATAACCCATTGAGGTTGATATGCCGTAAAATAAAAGCAGACCAAACCAATATATACTGAGATAGATAGATAGATAGATAGATAGATAGATAAAAAATATTATCAGCAATAAAAATTTTGACGGCATTAAATAACCCATTGAGTCTGATATGCCGTAAAATAAAAGCAAACCAAACCAAGAAATTACTATACGTAACATTATTAGCCCGATCCAGAAACCTGTTGAGAACAAAATTCTCATGTGTTTTTATATTTTTTATCATTACGCACCTATCAATTGAAATAACATAAATGTCTTTTGAACAAACTATGTGTTATACTAGATCACACCTATTCTCTTGTAAATAGACTCTCCCACAGATAATAAGTAGTAGTAGCAGTCGCGAGTGAAGCTCAGTGAGTTGTGTGAGTCAGTCGATGTCGGACATTAAAGTATCAACCACCACAACTAGATTGCTGCGCCATTAACTATTATTTCAAGTTCCTAACGTTTTGTACGTCGAACCTTCTTTAGGACCGATTTAGTGAAATACAAGCCTCCACTGTGAAAACTACTCTACAACACTGACAAGGCCCGATGTTGCTTAACTTTGGTACGAGAACTAATGTTTCAACGTGATATGGCCGTAAGCGCGACGGTGAGGTGACTAAAGCCGCGATGCGATGTAAGGACTAATAACATTGCGGAATCTTATTTGATTGTAACAAGAATCTCTAAATATTGAACTAGACCATATATGTAAATATGGAAGATAGATTCAGGCCGGAAAGATTATCTGGCATGATAAAGCGAAGGAACTTTCCTAGCAGAAGACCTAGCAATGGATTCAATATAATCTTTCCAATCCTTTATTATCGTTTTTTATAAAGTAATAAACAGATTATCCCCAAGAATTTATGTATATAAACAATATCAGCGTGATTAAGAAGCTTAGAAGAATTGGTCAGATTTTAGGAAGTGGCTTAGCTCAAAACTTTTCTGCACCTTCTCAAAAACAATTACGACCAATTTACCGAGTTTTTGCATAATAAAAAAAAAATAACAACAGCTTCGTGAGTCTGCGAGGTTCCTAAGTCTTTGCAAAGGCATACCTCTCCTGGAATGTTCCAGAACATTCCCTCCCTAAATTGTGCGAGTTAGGTGCGGCTGAAAGTTATTTACTGAAATTTACCTTATGCGCGCTCAGTGAGTTTATATATATATATATATATATATATATATATATATATATATATATATATATATATATATCATAATTAACTCATCGAGTCTAGAAGAATCCTCAACAGAATACAGGAACAACTGGACGGCTGTTTCGTCCTTTTTTTGGACTCATCAGCAGCGCGTATCCACTACTGAGAATCGTATCCGAACCGATACGATATGAGGCGTTATATCGTATCGGTCATATCCACTGGACCAAAGGAAGGGTAACAAACGAGACTCGATATAGCGCAAGTTCTTCAAAAATTCTGTCGTGTGACTCATCCGAATCTACCTATACCAACTAAATATATTTTGGTATGAGATATTTTAAAAGTATCACTTTTTATTGATTTAATTATTTTGGGCGGGGGTATACTAATATTTAAAGATGTCAACTCCCTTCTTCCGACAGAAAAACCGTTAACGTATTTTGATATATCGTGATATAGTTTCTATTCGCCTACACAGATGGATGCCAAGAGAGGAATGTGTGTTTCTGAGTCTTCACCCAGGAGTGGTTTTGCTTCGTTCGCCCTGTTGTTATGGGAAATCCTTCAAGGGTAATAACAGTTGCTTAATTTAGCTCGGTAATCTTTGCACAAACAGTCTAAAATACACGACGTATAAGAAAAGACAATGGTTTGATTCATTAATTTGTCATCTTGGATGAATTTGACGAGAAGATTTCATGTATAACAATTTGGTTAAAGAAAACAAGTTGGTTTTTTTTCAGTATTTCAGACTAGATTTCTACTTTCCCGTAAATTTTTTAGTATTAATTGTTTGATATCTGATTTTTACGCATTTATAAAAACATGATCAAAGAGTTTTTACCGATAATGTCGTGACCATATATATTTTGATAATATCTTATAAAAATCAAAAAGTATTTAGACATCGAAAAATTTACATTCAAATGTTCAACAGAAAGCGCAAAAATCGGTCGACATAGACAAAAAATTTGGAAAAATCATTTAATTATATATATATATATATATATATATATATATATATATATGTGTGTGTGTGTGTGTTTATATATGTGCGTGCGTGCGTGTGTGTGTCAATTGCAGATACTCCCCTCTCACTTCCATCTGTGTGTATATATATATATATATATATATATATACATATATATATATATATATAAAAGAAATATGTTGTAGTGGTTCCAACGAGAGAAAAGTATGTATATTAAAAAGAAGAGGGTGCCGCAAACGTTTTTGGTTGTAATGTGGATTTATTGAGAAAAAATATTATAATTTGTTTTATATAATTTCACGACACGTGTTTCTGGTCTGGTCTCGCAACCGTCTTCAGGTGAAAGTGGAGATTTTACATATTATTAAAAATAATTAATTTTTCTTCATGTTCAATGTGGAATATTCTCGATATGAGACATTCTGTTTGTGTGTTGGCAATCCGAATTTTCTTTCTAGAATTGTCAATGAAGAGTTCTGCGTGAAGGGTCATAAAACAATTAAGGTTTGTCCAGCGAGTAGTTATCGGCATTTAATCTTTTAATGTTTTAGTGACCTCTATGTGCTCTTGGATCTGTTTCTATTTTGGCGTGTTCCTGTCAGCATGCGTGTATATATGCGTGCGTATATTTCCTTACTACGAGGAATTCGTAAACTTATTTGTACTTATACACGCATACACACACATACGCACATACACACTATCCCACCACAAGTAGTCAGTACACACACACATATACACACATATTTCCCAAGCTACATGGAACCAGTACACACACACACACATACATACACACGCACACACACACACACACACACACACACGTACTTCTTAAGTTGTCAACATCCGCATATACATACATAAATGTATGTATGTGTACATACACATATATATATCACTATCTCTATAACCCCCCCCCACAAAAAAAAAACAAAAAAACATGCACCAAATACAATGATCGCTCACATACATGCACGCACACTCATATACGGGAGACACGAGGAGATATATATATGTGTATGTACACATACATACATTTATGTATGTATATGCGGATGTTGACAACTTAAGAAGTACGTGTGTGTGTGTAAGTGTGTGCGTGTGTATGTATGTGTGTGTGTGTGTGTGTGTACTGGTTCCATGTAGCTTGGGAAATATGTGTATATGTGTGTGTACTGACTACTTGTGGTGGGATAGTGTGTATGTGCGTATGTGTGTGTATGCGTGTATAAGTAATAAATAAGTTTATGAATTCCTCGTAGTAAGGAAATATACGCACGCATATATACACGCATGCTGACAGGAACACACCAAAATAGAAACAGATCCAAGAGCACATAGGGGTCACTAAAACATTAAAAGATAAAATGCCGATAACTACTTGCTGGACAAACCTTAATTGTTTTATGACACTTCACGCAGAACTCTTCATTGACAATTCTAGAAAGAAAATTCAGATTGCCAACACACAAACAGAATGTCTCATATCGAGAATATTCCACATTGAACATGAAGAAAAATTAATTATTTTTAATAATATGTAAAAATCTCCACTTTCACCTGAAGACGGTTGCGAGACCAGACCAGAAACACGTGTCGTGAAATTATGTAAAACAAAGTATAATATTTTTTTCTCAATAAATCCACATTACAACTAAAAAAACGTTTGCGGCACCCTCTTCTTTTAATATATATATATATATATATATATATATATATATATATATATATATATATGAAGAAATATAGTCTTAAGATGTGCTATATTTATGGGATAAATTACTCAATATCAGAGATAGAGCGTGTATGTATATATATATATATATATATATATATATATATATATATATATATATATATATATATATAACGATATATATATATATATATATATATATATATATATATATATATATATATATATATATATATATATATATATATATATATATATATATTATATATATATATATATGGGATAACGATACATATACAATAGCGGCGATAATATAGGAACTTTTATCCAGTAGCTTATTTCCTTTTCCTAAACTTTATTCGGTAAAAATTTCTTGCATTACTTTTTAAGTAATACACATATTTATGTCTTTGTTGTTTCCGTTCCTTATATTATGGCCGCTATTGTATATATATATATATATATATATATATATGGGATAACGATATATATATATATATATATATATATATATATATATATATATATATATATATATATATATATATATATATATATATATGAAATGGACAACATCCGACAATTATTTAAAGACACTTTTATGCTTATACCTTCTTTTTTTGATACAAATACAAAGGGCGGTAAATGTTATTTAATATTGTTTATTATAAAACTGATCATTTACTTAAATATTTGTATCATTAAAAAGAATGTATGTCAGTATCATTAACTGGTATCAATCCCCGTGATCATTAGTTTTGTTCATCTGTTACAGTGGAAGAGTGTTTGAAACAATACCTGATCTGTGAATACAGATATATACTTTTTTTCTTATGTAGATAACCAAAACTTATAATCATCTGTCATCGATAATGAATCCCCAATATACCAATTTGTTAAGAAACCGGCTGGTTACATTGAATGCCTCGAAACTAGTTACATTTTATCATCGACGTTCTGATCCCAAACTAACGCCAGACACGATGAACCGATGTCCCCTCGAGGATGTACCATGCCTTGAAAGCTGTTGAGCCTCAGACTCATACCTGATTACAAAATCGGCCCTATGTAATCATCTGTCTCGTTACATTATTCTCTACCTTCACAAGAGCCAAATCAGGTCCAAAATGGCGTACTGTTGTCATATTTGGGCGGAGGCTGCTCAGATCTCACTCCCCACCACAATCCTTGATAGAGCCCAAAAGCGTCTTCGAACGCTTGTGGATGACGAACGATTCTCCACCCATCAGCCTTTCTCTC